ATATTATATATGTACATATTATTTATATTTTTAATTTGTATTAATATACCGTTTAACATGTAATTTTTTTATGTATTTTTTTATAAAATAAAAATAAAAATAATTTTAAATAAGATAGAAAAATTAAAATTTAAAATAAGATATGAATTTATTAAAATTTATAAGTATAAAATATATTTAATATGAATATTTTTTTAATAAAAATAAATAAAAATCGAGTCATGCGGTTCAACTAGTGACCCACCGGTTCAACCTTTGACTCACTGACCCAGTACCTTAACCGGTTCGATGACCGGTCCGGTTTTTAAAACTATGTATAAATTACTATCCCTTATATCCATATTTCACCGACAAATAACATAAGATAAGACAGGATCCATTGCATTTAATATCATACATATTCAAATCTGAGTCTCCTAAAATCCTAATTAATCCATCCTTCTTCACTTTCACTCTTACTAAAGTAAAATCTCAGAATAAAAAACCTACTTACCCACCCAACACAACACCTTCTTCCTTAAACACTAGGTTTCTTCTTTCTGTTCGATTCTTCAATTTTCTATACTCACGCGTTTCATATACGGTAATCATCTTCCGGATTCTTCATTCAATTGCTTCATAATAAGGACCTTATGCAGCATTCAATTTGATTTCTCATTAATAACGCCTCCAATTATTGTCACTAATTATCGGTATTTCTCTTTTTTATTTTCCTCGATACCCATCCTTTTCTTTCTTTAACAAAAATATAGATAACGCTTGCTGTGAGATTTTGGGTTTTGAGTTCCCTGTTTTTCCCAGCAAAAGTTGGAACTTTTGCTCCGATTTGGTTCTGATTAGAACCGTTTCTGCTCAGTGGTCTGTGAAGACGAGCAATTTGGAGAGAATATGTGATTTTTTTTTTCTGATAGGATTTCTTTGCTTTGCATTTTGCGTTGTCAGACCAAGGTTTGTGGAAATTCAAGTTTTTTTTTTTTTTTTTTTTTTTTTGGTTGTGCGTTTTGGGGGTGTATAGGGAGAAGTGTTAGAACTTAGAAATTGTATAAAGTGTGTTTCTTTTTTTTTTTTTTTTTTTTTTTCTGGTTGTGCGTTTTGGGTGTGTATAGGGAGAAGTGTTAGAACTTAGAAATTGTATAAAGTGTGTTTCTTTTGATTTGGGTTAATCTTGATCTCAATGGAATTTGGTCTTGGTTCAATGTTTGCCGTGGTGCAGGCTAAGAGTTGGGGTTTATGAATATTCGATGTGGAGTTTTGTCGATGTTATTTTCAACCACACAATTGGGGACATCAATAAGTGATTATAGACTCTTATGATGACTGTGAACTAGGCTCGACCCTGTTTTGTAATTGGGATTCCCTAATTGTCGCCTAACATAGGTTGAATACACGGATTGAATTGATTTCTATGAAGTGGATAGAATGGATGGAGATTATTTTATGTTTTGACTTTTGAATATGTTTCAGAACCTTTATTTTGGGAAGGTAGTGATCAAGGGTTTTGTTAGTCCTTAGTTTGATATCTATTACCATTTTTTTTTTATAGTGCAATATGTGAAGTAGATACCTTGCATTTGGCTTTCTTTGACACCCTGACAGTTATGCTTCTTGCTCTAGTGTTTTTAATTTCTGTTTAGTAGTCCATGTTTATTCTTGATAGTTCCTAGAATTGAAAATTCCATTTTTATATTATTATAGTTCTGTAGGTCTTGTTTCCCTTAACGGTTACAGTGCATCAAGTGCATCTGTTTTTGTGTCTTATGTCTATAGTATTCATGCCAATACCATTGCCTTCTCAATATGTTGCACTATGATGTTTCTGGGGATTTTTTTCTTTTAATGATGTCTTAACTACATTATGTGCAGGAACAGCTGGTTTTCTAGTCCATTGATGGCTACCCCAAGTAAATCAACACCAATAACTTCAGATACATTGGAACAGAAAGGAAAAACCATGAATGAATCAAATGCAAACATTCTTCAATGCCCTTCAAACCAGCAACCCCATAGCTCCTTAGATGGCCCAGTAGCAATCCTTTGGGATATTGAAAATTGTCCTGTCCCAAGTGATGTACGCCCTGAAGATGTAGCGGCTAATATAAGAATGGCTTTATGGGTGCATCCAGTAATTAGAGGAGCTGTTATGATGTTTTCTGCTTATGGGGATTTCAATTCTTTCCCT